TGTGAGTACATGCATATATAATATATATACAGACGGTTCTGTGTGACTGAAATATGTTACAACTTTTAAAAAAATTTGGTGGTGGGAGGGTTGGGGGGCAGGAGGTAGGGGGGTAAGAGATCAACCAAAGGACTTGTATGCCTGCATATAACCATAACAAATGGACATAAGACACTGGGGGCTAGGGGAGGCTAGGGGACTGTCTAGGGCGGGGGGGAAAAATGGACACATATGTAATACCCTTTGTAATACTTTAAGCAATAAAAAAAAGAAATGGAAAAAAAAAAAGAGCAAGGTAGGTCAATTTTACCATTACTTTAAAAGATTTAGTTCAAACTGTTCTGAACTGATAGATCAGTTCAAAACCAAGTGAATTTTTAGTCTGCTTAGTAAAAAGGGTTGGAAAATATTCACTCCAAATAAAAGTCACTTGGGGAAAGACACATTAGTCAGCACTCTGCTGTCCTGGTGCAAAGTATCAGAAACATCCCAGTATTTTCTACAACTTTTACTTGCAATTCTAGAGGGTGGTCAGGTAGCCCTACCATGGAAGTAGCTTATCTTTCAAATCTTCTATGAAGACTAGAATAACCACTGGATAACCTCAGAAAGATAAAGTATTTTTCTTCGTCTCTTCATTAGCTTTTATAACAAAATTTTACTACATTTCCTGAGTCCTGGCCCAAATCCCCTACATTAAATAGGCTTTTACTTTGCCTAGCATGCAAATCAATAGGAGCATGCCAATTCACTTTATATATTTCTGATTTGCTTAATGTTTCTCCTTGCAACTAATTATTTTTGGCAAACTAGAAGCTTCTAGCAGCAAATTGAGAAATTGCTATAGTATAGGAAGGTAAGTTATTTAAGATGTTTAAGCTGAGTACAATTTGTTTCTTTTGAGAGTCACAAATTAAGCTTTATCTTAGCTTACATTGCAAAACCCACTGCAATAGAACCTTGATAGAACTGCTTTGTTTCCAAATGCTTAATGTAAAAAATAAATCATAGTTCCTAAGTGTTGCTTGCCACATGGACTTTTAGAACTCTGGAATGAATAAAATGGTTCCACTTCACTTAACCAATGATCTGTTTATATTATTTTATGCCAACTTGGGAACAATGCTATTCTTTCATATGCTAAACTATAATCTAGGTTCCAAATGACAATTTTGGTGTTTTGCTCTCTGAAGCATATACTTAGGGAATAAATGTTTTTTGCCTGGAATTCAAAACACTTTTAATATTCATCATCTTTACCATTTACTTCAATCAAGATCTGAATAATAATGTCTTCATCTAATAAACAACAATAATTTTTCTAAGAGGATGCATAGGTAGGGGAAGAAACCCATTTCATACAATACAGCACCAGTGTGCTTTTGAGATAGCGGGAAAAGGGAACACTCTAGAGGGGCAGACCCGGCAAACAGTTTGGATATCTCTTCAGAGTGCTCCAAACTTGGATGACTTTTTTGTTATATATCACCTTGATTAATGGAACACATTTGCTAAAGTGGTTCTGTAATAGCTACACAATTCTTATGGCTTGAAAAATGCAGCCTAGAAAAAGTGATGGGGATGAAAAAAACCTTCAAAACTCACTGGGTTCTCTTTCAGAATCAATACTGCCCCTGAACGGAAACAGTTACTTTTCTTTTTAAAAATAAAGACAATACATTTTAAGGAAAGTACAATTTTGTGAGATGGGAGTAGAAATAAACAAGTAGAGGATATTTTGGGAGGAGAAGTTGTGGCATGTCAAGGCGTCCAGATTCTGGGTGGAGCCAGGCTACTTGTGTTTGAATTCCAACTATTTGTCTCATGAACTGGGCAATTTATTTAACCACCCTGTTTTTAGTTTTTCCATCTGTCAAATACTACCACTCCTATCTCTCTGTGTTGCTGTGATGATTAAATAAATTAATCCTTGTAAAAGAGTTTCAACAGTGTATGGTACAAATTAAATACATAAGTATTGGTCAATATTATTACAATTATGTTTGTACATTTATAAACATACAAACCAAAGTGAATGGAATACACCAGGAACTATATACTAGTGTCCTCTAATTAATCCATTCATCAAACACAAAAATTTGATGAATGTTTTCGTTAAGTAGACTATTCAAAAAAATCTACATCTTACAGTCCTCTGGTTGTCTTTTCTGATTAGCAGAGATTTTATCTAAATCCTTTTGTCCTGATACTTCTCCTCTGATAACTCAAAAACAAAACAACAATGTTGTGGTATTTAAGTACACAGATTGTGGATAGTAACATTAATATGTTTTATTGTTCTGACTGCAAATTATTTCTGGTTTCAAATTTATCTTGCTAAAGCAATTCAGAAGTGATTACAAAGCCTCATGAAATGATAGCAGTCATATGAAGGTGCAAACATTATGTAAAAATCTAACAATTTTTAAGAATAAAAGGATACAGTGTACAGTGTCCCTCATGCAGTCCAAAGAAAAATACGTTACCTTATACCATACTATCTTCAATATTATTATCACCATCAGCTAACAATCACTAGTGTGTTTAACATTATAGTAATAAACATCAAAAATATTTGAACAGCTGACCCATAGTCTATTGTGGATGGTAAATAAATGGACTGATTAAGTAATAATCAATTAATCAAACTTACTCATAGAGAAGAAAGAGGCCATTATAGTTCAAAATAAATTTACAGTGATGAAGACAATTTAACTCTTAATACCATACTGACATTGGGGATGAAGATAGAGGTAAAGTTAGTTAATAGATGTAACAGCTATAATAACTTGAGAGTGACACAGAAATATTAAATGGAAGTAGAAATTAAGTTATAATTATTAAGGTAGAAAAATTTATATGCTGAGTAAAGTAAGGCCACCTCCTCTGCCATAAGCTGCCCTATCAGCCATGTGATTGGTGAAAGGAGGTAACACATTACACCTGCTCCTCACTCTTCCATTCTACTGCTCTTGCTCTATCTTTCTAACTGGTAAATTGACTATACAAAAAGTACATGTATTTTATATTCTAAAAACTTAAATAGGATTTTAAGAAGCTAAACTACAGGCTTTATTTGATTTTTACCAGCTTTTCCTTTAATAAGTTAATTGAAAAAGTTTCCGAGCCAGGAACCCAGACCGCATTTAGTTGTCACTCACATCTCCTTTGTCTTCTCCAATCTATCACAATTCCTGTCTTTTCTCGTTTTTCATGACCTTAACTTTTTGGAAGGGTATTTGTCAGTAATGTTGCAGAATGAACCTCAATTAGAGTTTGTCTGCTGTTTTCTCATGATTAGACTGAGGTTATACCCTTTTGCAAGAATACCACATAAGTGATGGGCCCTTCTCAGTTCTTCAATTCAGGGGCTACACCATGTTGATCTGTCTTGTAATTGGTGAAGTTAACCTTGATCACTCAGTAAAGGTGGTGACAGCCAGGGTCTCCTCTGCGAAGTTACTATTTTTCCCTTTGTAATAAATATCTTGGGAGAGATACTTTGAGAGTATGCAAATATACTATTTTCCCTTGAAATTTTACCCAATATTTTGATATCTATCGATGAATCTTGCCTGGAACAACTATTACTGAGATATTGATATAGGGTTTTAAAAAGAACTAAAACATATAAAATATAATGGCCAAATGATTCTTGATACAAACATACTTAAATTCTACTGAATACAGCACTTTAAGTTATTTTCAAAATAGATGTCATATTCTTTTATGTTTTCAATTAATGTTAAACTATTAATAACATAACTGAAATTGTTACTTACATAACTATGGCTTTTAAAGAAACTTGATGAACTACTGGTGAGCATTTTGTCTCCTTCCAAACCAATTACTCTTTTACAAATATTTGATTTTGGATCACTTGGACTTTTTGCAATCACAATGTCACCTCTGAGGGAAAAAGTCAAAGAAATGTCAGTGTTATTTATTAAGCACATGCATAGCATTGCTATGATACTTTTATAAGGCAACTTAAGAGTCACACCCTTTATCTTCTCACTGTACTGGCCCTCCCAGACATTTACCAACTTTGAGTACCTCTGTGACTGACTTTTATGTGTTACAATTCAACAATAAA